ATCCAAATACAAGATTGCGTTATTACACCACCGAAAGTGACCAACAGCCTCAAAACGAAAAAACGAAATCGTGATTACGAATACTGAGATTAGAATATTACTTCAAGTGATAAAAGTTTTCTCTGGTGTGTAAATTAACGAATTTTGTTTCAATTGCAAGTTGTTGTTTACAAACAATGAACAACAATCAAATAATGTACACCAACGTTTAACACAAGGACAACGTAGGGAAATACATACTGAGGCATATAATATTGCTCCAACCTGTAATTTTTGTGATTTTCTAATGTTACTTTGTACCAAACGCATGCTGTTGTTACAGTTAACTATACACACGTGGTGACCTGCTTATATACTGTGATGCAATGTGATACGCAGATCGAGTATCCTCGAGTTTCAGCTGTATTAACATTCTAGTAAGCTATCTTAAATTTCCGTTTTGCAAATTCAAATTTCCGTAGTTATATAATCGTTAAACTTCAATCATCATTTTTTATTCGCAATAAATAAGTGGTTTTTTTTAATTATATCGCTATGAATATTGCTATTTGGTGATTTATTAAGCTTTTTCAACATGTCACTCCACAACTGCGACCTATATAAATATACAATATACAGAGTAATCATGTAAATATCAATATCAATCAATGTTATGCTTTGTAGAGACATGTTTATAATGTAATTGAAGGTTATAACTTAGTCAGTGGAACAAACACAGTGTGTATAATGAAGCACACGTTACAGGTTATCCACCTACAAAGCTAGGAGTAGATATTGCAAGAAAATCGGTCGATTTAAGAACAAAAGGATCTGGTCACACTGGGTCGTCCTATCAGTGATAGGACGGTCGGTACAAGACGTGCCACGTCCCATGACAGCCGGTAAACATTACTGTGTTTATAGAGTCACTCTGACATTATCAACTTCCGTGCAGACGAACCTGCTTTGTCTGAGATCTTTGGAGGCTCACCGACTAAGGTTGAAGTTTTGAACTCATGTTTCCCTGACGTTCCAGATAGTATCCGGTAATAATTGAACATTCTTGCGCGCGGAAATCCAATCAAACTGGTCGCTGTGTCGAAAAGTTCGCGTTGGAAATGATCCTGAAATCTACCTGTTCTATAATACAAATATTACAAAATCATATTTTTAACAGATTAAAATTGAAACTGTTATGTTCCATTTTATCCGGCTTGGTGGCTTGTAAACGAAAAATCGACATATAAACAACATTACCCCTAACAAAAGGGAACGCTTTGATATTTGGTTGATACGCTAAATATGAAATGTTTATATTGTTTGTTGAATTTTGTTTTTTAAACCGCCAAAATAAATGTTTCACAATATGACCATTTCTTCCACAAAGGGTTCATCTGTGGTACCACAAGTTAACTCAATGAAAATAAATAATTGAAAAGCTTCCGATCGTACGCGAAGGACTTGTATGTAATATCACAGGAACATACGGGAGGGACTTGTACGTAACATCACAGTAACATACGGGATGGACTTGTATGTGATATCACAGGAACGTACGGGAGGGACTAGTATATAATATGATAGGAACGTACGGGAAGGACTTGTATGTTAGATCACAGGAACGTACGGGAGGGACTTGTATGTAATATCAACAGAACGTACGGGAGGGACTTGTATGTAATATCACAGGAACGTACGGGAGGGACTTGTATGTAATATCACAGGAACGTACGGGATGGACTTGTATGTAATATCACAGGAAGGAAAGGGAGAGACTTGAATGTAATATCACAGGAACGTACGGGAGGGACTTGTATGTAATATCACAGGAACGTACGGGAGGGACTTGTATGTAATATCACAGGAACGTACGGGAGGGACTTGGATATAATAGCACAGGAACATACGTGAGGGACGTGTATGTAATATCAAAGGAACGTACGGGAAGGACGTGTATGTAATATAAAAGGAACGTACGGGAAGGACGTGTATGTAATATAAAAGGAACGTACGAGAAGGACGTGTATGTAATATCACAGGAACATACGGGAGGGACTTGAATGTAATATCACAGAAACGTGCGGGAGGGACTTGTATGTAATATCACAGCTTAAGGTTAGAGCTGTCTGTCGATCCCTTTATAGTTCGTTAGTCGTCTCAAAGCGGTTCACAAATTATTATCCGCGGTTATAGGGCTTTTGCAACCAGCCAATATCTTTCTCAACTCCATTGGGAGCATACAGCCGGTGCTGCCATTTCGGCGCTCAGAGCTAGCATTAGACAATTTTAGCAATACCCAACTATGAACTCATTTACAGCTGAATAGACTGCAACATGCGGAGTAAAGTATCTTGCTCAAAGATACAACACAGCACCTTGACGTGACTCGAACCTGCAACCCTTTGGTTACGAGCCCGGCGTCCTACTACATGTACTAGACTACCGTGTTTCTATACGACTACATATAAAACTGATACAAATCAAATACTAGTAGACTAGTATATTGCATGACTAATCAATCTTACGAATACATTCAGAACATTTAGAAAACGTACTGTGAAGAAATCAAAAGAGAAAAATCGACTCGTTTAAGTGAATGTAAACTTCAAATGTCTAACTCGTTGTCTTGTTGGTATTCGCTCTTTAAATGACGTTTAGTAATTAGTTGACTTGACAAAGACATGGAAACTCAATAGCGAAACAAATACATTGTGTGCAATATTGTCAATGTTCCCACGTGGCATTGCCATTGTAATAGTAAGCACGTGGAACATTTTGATCTGCCAAAGCATGGTTATGTTCAGGAACTGTGACTAATGTTATTTGTTGTGTGATGTATAAACAACCTGAAGTGGTCTTAACTGATAGACTATTGTGTTCCAAGTTAAGTAAATTGAACATCAAAGTAATATCTGTTAAAATAAAAGTCGAGTGAAAGGAATGACAGGGAATCAGAACTGAAACAGCATTTAGAAAACAAAACAAAATCAATTTGGAGGTCAGGTCAATATCCAAATTCAATACGGCGCAATGGCTTATTTCTGAGTCACCAAGTTAAAAAATAGAAGAGGATACTGAAGTTCCAAAAAAATCGTGCCATAGTATTTATGAAAGAGTCAAGGCCTTGTAAAGACTCTTCTCATTAAGGACATGTCAGTTACATAAATCAAAGCAGACGGCTCATTGTTAGGCGTTGTATTTAATTAATTACTCCAGCCACTAAATCATGATTCCGCGTTATACAACAGAGCACGACTATCGCGTTTCTTTTACGGCTTATTTCCCTATTACCTAATGATGTAGAAAACGTAGTGTCTACCATTGCTCACACACTCGACATTCGTGATTATATCACAAACACACAATCTTTATCATATAAAACGTGTTGTTGTCCTGTTTCGGTGATTTTGTTTTGATCTTGTATTTGTGTGTTGACGCGATAAATGTTTCCCAACGCGAGCCGACGCCACATAGCTACATATGAGTACCTTAAAAATATAGCTTAAGTGATCTTATCTATCAGATATTAAATTAATCTGAAACTGTATAAGTTATACTTCGTTAAAGTGTACTATGTATCGTTTGAAAATGCTAAAATAATTCCAGCCAGCAATACAGAACATGACATAACTTCAGGAACACCACCTGCAGAGACACTATGAGACATTTTCAGCGAGATAACAAACTTATATACCACGTGTTAAATGTGTAAGGGTAATTATGTGGAGTTTTTGCCTGTTAAAACCAATTAAAGTCTCATTAAAGTAATTAGGATAGCGTGTTAATGACTCAAGGGCATCAAATCATCAAAGGTAATTTGATATTTACACATGCGGTGTTTCTCACTCTGTTACCACATTGTGAAGGTGAGATCACCAATGTGTTTGTAAAACGTTCACGTGTCTATGCCATTGTTGTTATTACGGTAAAATAAGAAAGATATTTTCTAAGAGTGTGACTGTTTAACTTTTACAAAAATACATGGGTTATACATTGAAAATTCTGGTGTTACAATTGATTTTGCGAGACAGAAATAGGAACATTTGAACATGTGATTAAGCGATATGACAGATAAAACATTACCGTATAGGGAGTTGTGTGTTACTTAAAAGCAAATAGGGAAAATAGATTACATAATAAAAGAAAACAAAAGAAAACAATTAAGACAAAAAAAGGCAAAATGGTTACCTCTTCTCGAAATTGTGAGTTATACTTAATTGTGTAAATTGCTGAACAAGTCATTGCTATTTATTCAGCCTGACCCCAGGAAATAACAAAAACCTCTCATATTTAACATTAATATTTAAAAGTCTGGATTATTTATATTAAGATTCATATTTACAATGAACCATTTACACCTGGTAACATTGTGGAATTACTTTTTGTCTATTCAGACAGAATGCATGAACAGGCACTGTTAACACAACAGCATAATGCCAGTGTCTATTAGGGATCTCATATATAACGATTATGATATCATGATAACATAGTGAGGTCAAGATCGCCACGGATGACTTATATCCCCATAATAACACGTATATTGTTAACTTATATAACAGGGATTTATGTCAATTCAAATTCATATTTATCTTTGATACCAATTGTTTGTATTAATAGTATATAATAGCATTATTGGTCTGATAAAGCAACTCTCGATAATAACTGGAACATTTAAACAGCCTGCTATATGTCGTTACATTTTTATTCAGGTATTATTCACACCATATAATTATACACAACAAAAATAGCAGATAAACCTTTCTATACACACACTACTATACTGAAAACTTCCTATATAGTTCAATCTCACTGAACCGTTAGATAAATAGGATATAATCTAACACTACAGTAAGTACCGCACGAAACTCACGGTGGGGCTATACTTTAGAACTATCTCATTGTGTTGTTATACAAGGCATATACTAAGTAGATTGCTTTGAAAACGAACACACCAAACGAAAAGAAAGACACCGAATTAGTCATGCATTCGATATTGATTTTAAGACTTGTTTTATTTATAGCTTCAGATAGATGACCATATACAAGATCCAGCAGAACAAAGGAAATTTGGAATATTTAAAAATGAACACAGAGAAGGTATGTTATGAGTGTTCTAAAGGTTTTTTCACACACGGGTCAATACAGTAACTCTTTCTTTCCAATTAAGTATATGTTTAACTGAGTTACTGTTTTAACTGTTATATCTGTCAGTGGGATAAAGAATGATGTAACACATAATATACTAATATCAACAGGAACAGTTGTTGGTATTAGTATGCAATATTTAACAAGTGATACGTTAATGTCAAGTAACAAAGGTGTCAGCTTTATTAGGTGTTAGTTTTGGTAAAAAGGACAGTCACAATTTTAAAATATTAACGATTTTTTTTTTTATTTATTTACGTCCGGGCAGCGGTAATAATTTGGTTGTCACTTTTTCTTATTTTTAAAAATAATGCTAATTTCGAGATTTTTTTTTAACAATCATCTTGCTCTTAAATATTTGATGTTAACGTAGTCGACGGTAAGGATCACTATAGTTAAAGATTACAAAGAGACATTTTTGTAGCTGATAATGTGGGTAATGGCTATTGCATTCCAAAAGTTTCATTGTTCTTCATTTTTCAAAATCTATCAATATTATGCCATAGCTATCTATCGTGTTAAATATGAAAGTGTTTAGCCACGTAGTACATCATGTATTGATATATTTTTCTTTTAAACAGAATTCATGGACGCATTTAATTTTTTTGACAAAAATCAAGATGGCCGGATCTGTATTGACGAGCTTGGAAAAGTTATGCAAGCGTGCGGACAAAACCCAACCCACGAAGACGTTATGGAAGCAATGATAAAGTTCGACCGAAATAGTAATATTTTTTTCTTATATATTACATTTAAGCATTGCACAGTTTGTGTGATCACAGGTTATACAATTATGTTGATTAATTCACATTAAATAATATATAAACATAAACACTTGTCCTTCAATAACAGTTTATACCATTTTAGATTTGAATTTGTCCAACCCCTAGCGTCACAGATGATCCCTTACAAGTGGAGATAGCTTTATGGTGCAGAGTAATTCAATTTTGACAAACTGTATAAATACAAATTTTATGGGTGCAATTACATGTGTGCCATACGTTCATATTTCACGGTTCATGGGCCTTATATATAATTGTTGTTTTACATGTATGTACAGTTGCATACAATGAGATGATACTGGTTTGATACCTATTTGTGTTGTCAAAATAAATACACTTGTGCAAATTAAACAGTCTGATATCTATTCTCTACCATCATTCAAAGAAAGCTGTGAAAATAAAAAAATCTTGATGTAACAGATTCCTATTTACTTTGTCACCGCTATGTTCACACTTGTGTGTTGATATCTTCCTGAGTAGAACATAGTTTAAACATCATAAATGAGGTCCTGTTGTTAAGGTCATAGAAATAGGCAAAGCAGGAAGGAATCATCAGCCACTGCGATGCAGATGCAAGAAAATGTACAAAATAAAATCACTGCACCATATAGACCTATGTAGTAGACCCATCGGTGGTACAAAATGTCAAAATAATAATATGAAATCTCTGTTTATCTTAAACATATTTTTGATCCAGCGCAAAGGACAAAATGTTTACAAAATCCTGTATAACATTAAAAATGTACAGCGTTTGTCTGTAACCAATAATTTATTCTTGAATAATAGTACCTCACAAAATCTTTATTAGTAAAGGGAGATAACTCTTATCTGTAACTAATACCGTCTTCAGACCTACGTTCGTTGTAAAAATATCCCAATCATATAGCCATGCAATACTTGTATTTCAATTAATCAATTAATTAATAGAATCTTTTTGTTCTTACAGAGGATGGAAAGGTGGAATTCGATGAGTTTGTTTTAGTTATGTTTAAAATATATCAAAACCCAGTGCTGATGAGTAATTCGTTAAGAGAAGCATTTAAAGTGTTTGACAAAGACAGTAACGGGCTGATAGATGCCTCAGAATTCAGAAATATTGTAACAAATCTTGGCGGGGATCCTTTACACGAGAAAGAAATAGCTGAAATGATGGCCGTGGCCGATACAAATAGAGATGGAAAAATTGATTATAATGGTAAGTTACATAATTCCATTCGTTGTTCAATATCGGAATGAAATATAATGTCTTGTCTCCTCCTGTAATTTATAACTTTTGATTTTTGATTTTCTATCTGTATTGGCTTCTTTCCAACCCTCCACCCTTCCTTCATTAATTCTGTTTTACTTCCTTCCTTCCGCTATTTAATTATTTATCTATTTATTTATTTATTCATTTATTTATTCAGGTATTTACTTAAATATCATAACGTTACATATTACAAATACAATCGTCGGACAACGATCGTTAATTGAAAAGAATATATACTTCTATGTTTTTAAAAGAAAGGAGTAATCATTATATACATTGCCCCATCCCTCTCGTTATTTTAGTGAGAGCATTAGAAAAACTCACAATTTCGACATTACGAGATATAGCTCGAAATTGCGACTTAATACAATTGTAACTCCAAATTTCTGTGACTCACATAATCGTAGATTTATTTCAGATTTTAGAAATCAAAATATGAAGAAGGTACATTTTTATGTGTTGTGACAGGAATCATCAAATAAAATAAGAAGTCGGAGGGAAGTGTTTTATTAAATCTTTATAGAAAAAAATACACTATAAAAGCTGAAGTAATGTGCAAGTTGTTCGCATTCAAAACTTCTTTTTTTAAATAAAACGAGTAATATCATTGATGCCAGTTTTATATTTAGATATTTAAGTTCTTTTATGCTTTTGTATTAGTTTGTGTTTATTTTTTTCAGAATTCTGTGGCATATTAGAGAAACAATAGAGCCACAATGATGCCAGTTTTCACCATAAGAGAATCTCCATACCAATGTTGACCTGCGAACCAGAATGTTTTCCCATTACGATTTTGGAATCATGCTTAACTTCTATGGCTCTTGTTGACTATTACCTGACAAACGTGTTACTTTAATGGCGACAAGACCCTCCGGTGATCGCGAAACAAGTTGCGAAATGAATTAATAAGTATACAGAACAATTGCCTTGGGTTACCATGTTTCAGCGTACGCATTACCCGAAACATTTAAATACAGAAGATCAGGTATCTGTCCTTTGGAACATTGTGTGACGATCTAGTCAGTGTTATCCCGGGTCATAGAACAGCAAAGTCGGGTATCCGTCCAAAGGAACTTAGAAAATGTTATCCCGAACTGCAATTGTTAAATACTTCTTCCATAGGGCTAACATGTGATGACTAAGGTATTAGCATCCTCGATACTCCAGGGGTTACGCTTACTTACGCTTTCTGCACTCCTGGAATATGTCATCCAAAAATTGAAGGCTTATGACTAGCGTTTTGATTCGTCTCAGGTAGAAAACCCTAACATATAGCTGACAGATACCTGCTCTGTCGATTACAGAGGACCGACACCTGACTTCAAAGCCAGTCAATTTTACCGATACACGACAGCGATATTTTTTTGGTGTTACGTCAAAGGATCAAACTAGTCTTCACGTCTTATCAAAAAGGAAACGCACACTGAGCCTTCGATTTTGTCATGACATATTCCAGTGGTGTAGAGAGCGTAAGTGAGTGTAACCCTGGAGTATCAAGGATGATTTACTCCAATCTGAAGCCATAGCTGTTCAATACAGAACAGTTGTCTATTTGAGTATCGTGTGATGACTCAACCAGTGTTATTCTAAACCATTATTGTTCAATACTGTATATTGTTAAACTAGAGATTTTGGCGTGTGATATTTTCTTTGTTTGATAATTTCAGCTGTTCGAGCTGTGGATGTTTATCCCAATATCAAACACGTCTGTGGTATAGCATTTATTTGTTTGATATTGACTGGTATATGTTTAATTATCTAATGCTTACGATTTATTTGCTCCAAGTACGTAGTATTTTTTTTTATTTGTAATTATCATGTTAACATTTGGAATAACCTTGTATGTTTATTATTGATATTAAATCCTGTCGGGGATTGATAAAGTGCTCTTTAAAGAACTAGCTATCACATAATAAAGGAATCGTTAGATTTGGTTTTTTTTCTGATACAAATAGTTCTTACTTATAACGCATTTACTGATACGTATCTAAGGTCAAATAGAATTCAATGTATTCTTTGATGTCTAAATTTATTTCTCAATTTGTTAGATAGCCTTATGGTTTTTTTAACCATTAACCAGAGCTAAATATCGAGAGTATTGACAAGGCAACAATAGGCTTTTTATTACAGCTTCATTGCGTTATTTGGAATGCCCGCCTCATTTTTTGTACTATACTTCATTTCTTTTAGATTCAAAAGACTATCTCGAGTTGTCGAAGGATTTTTTTTTTTGAAATAACACCGATTAGAGATTAGGGAGCATTTCGTTGTTGATAAAATAATCCGTCCAGTATCTGTGCCACTATGATTTGTTATTATGAAGATTAAGAACTTTGTATGTTAGAGCATCAATATGGCAAATTCTTGTTTTAAATTGATATAGAATTTATACTGTTTATGAAGTCGTTGAATCATTTTTATTAGCCAAAGAAACACGCCTTACTAATTCAAAAATAGTCTATACCACTTAAAAACAAAAACAACAACAGAAAACAAACAAATTTGAAAAACAATGTGCATGCGATTTGTAAAACATTTTATCTCAATTGTGTATGACATAGTCCAGTGATCGAGGTCAGTATTACATACGACGATTCAGCTTGCGTAGGAACTTGTTGATTGCAATAATCACAACTAGTATTACAGTTCAGTAGCCAGGTATCATTATAAAATAATATACACGTTCTAGTATTGTTCGATGTGAGCAAATCGCATTGTCCTAATTGCTAGCCATCTAAACAACAAGTTTACTACTATATCGCGGATGAAAGTTATAAAAGAAGAGCACGAAGTCATAGGGCGTCAATCTACAAATCCACACGTTTCTTAGTTCATAATTTTAACGAATCAGACTAGTTGATTAACACTTTTATCTAACCAATATCTCAATGAGAAACAATGACAGTAGCTTTATAACGTGGTAGAAAATGTATACGCATGGATTATTAGTATTAAAATGCATTATATTAATCATAAATGTTGGTCACTCATTCCTCATCGTGAATAGTATCAGCATGTACCATAATTGGTGAATTTTTATCAAATCATTTGTGATTTTTTATCAAATCATTGGACATTAATCTACCCACACCAGACGTATCATACCAGGATTTTAATACAGACAATGACATGCCAAGATTAGGCATGCACATAAAATGTGTATCGGCCTTTCAGACGGTAAACACACACAGTTTACAATGTGTACGTTGTTATTGACTTAAAGAACAACGGCTTCTACCTTTTCGTGGTGTTCGTTCATGCCTTGAATTGTTTTGTGATGCTTATTCTACGATGGTGTTTTTGTGACATTAGAGTTTTCAGGAGAAAAACTTAATTTGGAAACATCCAATTTAACTTTTGAATGAATTCTTATGCATGTTTCACTTGAGTGAAATTTGTTCATTCTAACGTTTGTCTCGCATGACAGTATGCTAAGTCAAATTCATGTTCATGTACATATGTTTAAATTTCACAATTTCTTTGTAAATATTATAGAATGACATTTTATAATAAAGGAACTTTTTCAGTATATGTTTGTAGAGTTATGGTTAGGTTGTTTACGTTCACCACATAGGCCTTATTAATTAACGCTGGTTTATAGTATAAGCTGATGCTAGTGTATAGTAAAAACTTAAGATTGAGAGACAGACTAGCATTAGTGTTGATTAGCATTTCTAATTCCTGCAAAGTCAGAACAGGTTGAACATTGCTTTAATAAAAAAAACTGCATACTTCAAATGTTAAGAATTCAAACGTTTTGACAATGGATATTTCAAAACAATGACTTTGAGGTTAGAATTTCAAAACGTCTATGAAATTGCAATATTTACGATTGAGTGATGGCACAAACGCAATAAGCAGTATTGACATAAATGTAGATACTCCTTAATTCTAAACAGAACATGCTTTGGTCACGTTTAACTTTGACTAAGTTTATTTCATAAACATGACTTTGTATTTCTTAACGTTTAATTATCCTTTAAATAAATTGATTTTCCTAACATTTGCGAAGAAAATCTAACAGGAGTTCCTATTCTAAAATTTCATATGAGTTTATGAAATGAATAAGTATAAGAAAAGCGCTCCAAAAGCAAATGATAATTAAATGTATGACGAATTCTTAGATATCGACGGAAATTAATTAAAATGTTGTTATCATATAACCAAGATGTATTGCATGAATTCGAGAAAACATCATTGTCACCTGAATTCCAATCTCTACCCAGTGGTGTGGTTCCTTACACTCACTTACACCACTGTGAATGGCTAAATGCCAAGATTCTTGGCAAAGTATTTCAAACATCATTTCCTAAAACAGTTGTGTCTTTCAGCAATGTTTGATATATTCATCCGATTAAAAAGTTCATTTCTGCCAAAAATGTCACCGTAAGACCATGTTAAATACAAACCATTATATGATATTTGTTTGTGCCATTGTGTAATACAGCCTAGTATCTACGTACGACACCTAAATAAAAAAGCGTTGTTAACACATGCTGGATTCGTGATGAGCGTTAAAGATTATATTTAAAATATACCTTTCAAGATGAAATAGTCCATATTGGCTATTGCCATGATAGTGTACGGTTTGACGGCCCATGACCAACTATAACATGATCAGAGGCCAATTATAATGCAGATCATATTTGAGCCGTTGACAGAGGTGTAAATGAAAGAGTGTTAGGAACGGCAACTTTTGGGTAGAGATTGCTGACATGGTTGTGTCATGATCACTGTTTTTTCTCTGTGTTTATGTTGTCATATGAAATTGTTCATGTTTCGTTTGATAAAGAGGGAGATTGCCCAAGCTTACATGTTTGTTTTTGTGCAGAATTAAAACAACAACAGTATTTTTGTATATTTACTCAATTTATTTAATTCTTAAATGAATAAATATCCGTCAACAACATAATTAACGAAGGTAGAGCAGGATGCATATATTGGATTATCTCCCTTCCCCCTCCCTTACACATCTCTATGTCACAGTGTATATAAAAGAATGTAGCACTAGCAAAACAATTATACAGATACAGTAACCTCCCCTTAAGTTTGCTTCCGGGTCTATCAAAGATTATTTTGTTTACACACAGAACGTTGTTTTGATGATTATATTATGCTTATTTCATCTTTAGTATTTGTCATGAAAACCCCGCAAGGTATGCACACCATAGTTATACCATCAAAATCGATTGCTAGTGTATTGTAACTTTTTTTTTGCAGTGGTACATGTATGCCGATCCTTAAAATTTTAATTGTTTATTACAAACTTAAATTATATATCTATAATTTAGCTTCACGATATATAAACATTCCAGAGTAAGTCTGTTTCAGTTTGATTATGATTTATTAGACCGTAACTTCAACGCAGGAATACTAAAGTATTTTATCTTGTCTTTATATATACACGTAAACTCATTGATATTTAATGTGAGTTTATGTATATTTAGATGATATCATATAAATAACATGTTTAAGTTCATTACGACATAGGAAACAAAACATTGATTACAGATTGTGTTTGGCAAAGTTTTAACACACACTATATCACAGTTTCAGTAGGACTAGCACTAACACGAGTTTTTTTAACAATATGAAGTCAAATATTACATGTACACATTTTCTAATCGAACAAGGAGAATAAATCTTATATTGAAGTACACTGGGCTTATTTACTCAAACAATCTTTACTTATGATAATTTTCAGCACGTTGTTCATTTCGTAAATTAAAATTCTCACGAATTAACCGTTTAAATCATAAAAACGGAAATATTTATAAAAAGATAAATAGAAATGTGTAAGCTCAAAAAAGTAAATTCGTTTACTTGTTTAGAGGTGTATTCGTCAAAATTAAATGTGAATATAAACATATCAAAAATAGTATACTCGAAAATACTTTACTCCAAAGTAGGTATGCTTGAAAACAATTATACTCAAAAAGTGTCTATTTGTTTATAAGTATATAGGGAAATAAGTATGATTCGCACGTGGGTATAATAGTTTACCTTGGCCTATCCGGCCTCGAATAGTTAATAAACCTCGGGGTATAATAGTTTACCTTGGCCTGTCCGGCCTCGATTAGTCCATAACTTGGCATAGCATGTAATCTCAATAATTCTTTAAGCTTGACCTATTTTGTTTCGATATATAGAGTAAGTACAAGAGAATCTATTGTATTTGTCATTTCGGCTTTTTCTTGTCGACATTAAGTAAACAGTGTACTCTCATAAACAGGAAGACATCACAAAATAACGAAAATACGCAACAAAAGATATTTTTCTTGATTGTATTACATTTCATTAATTTCTATAAAAACAATACAAAACGAACGTGACATATGTATAAAATTTTGAACCTGGGATTAAACTAGCTGAAATATGGACAAAGTATGTGATTTTCCAAAATTGAAAATCGAGTAAAGTCGATAAAAATACAGGTAAATAAGTATCACTTTCAGTGACAAAAGTATTTTTTAAGGTTAATGAAGTTGTTTCATTTCGAAAAAAACGTAAAAGTCTTTTAGGCAAATACTATATACCTTCAATGCAGTCTTATTGCTGTGTGTCCGATACACCACTGTAACCGAATGTTTGAAACTAATTTACCCATACATCCACATGGTATGCGTTTAAATGATGTTGATCGCAAATACAGATGGTACAACAAATGAACCAAATTATTGCGCTTCATTCATTAGCATAGCGTCAAAGTAACTAAGATAAACTTATAAAACATAACATAGACGTAAACATAGTTCTACGGTAATGTCCAAAAATTACCAATGTTCTCCAAAATAGCGGCAAGCGGGGACTATAACTTCCATATAAGCTATATATAACTGGCTGCAATTATCGTTATCTAGTGACTTTCAATCAATGTAAAACGAAAATGCTTAGAAGTTCAAATCTGCCTGTGCTTGGTAATTTGATTGTGAACTGACCGCCTCCATTAAGGCCCACCTGTGTATGGATGCCAATTTTAATGTCCCCCATAGAAGCGATGCCATTGTGAATTGAATCTGTATTAAAGAGTCGACTTGTGCTGAAACACCACTTCCTTAGGTTGTATCTTTATATACAATTTGACTGTGATTTGATATTATGATTCACATGTTCGGAAATTTCGAAAATAATCTCGTCCTTAATCCAAGGCTATTTTTTAACAAAACATGCCAAACATTCCGTAACAGATACAAGTAAACAAAACCATTGGGTGGCCGGCTGATGCAGTGGGTGGCGCACTCGCCTTCCACAAAGGCGTCTAGGGTTCGATTCAGTGATCGGACAGGAACAGGTATTTGGTCACCAGACCGACCATACTACGTCCCTCTGTGCTACCATTTGGGATAACAAGACTTATTTATATAAGTTGTTTTGCAATTGTTATTAAATAAATAAAGTTTATTTCAAAAATAGAAGAAAAAAGAAACAGTATCAGCCTAGTTTCACCAGACATCGTTAAAATTATAAGGTATAGGTATAAAAAAAACTTGAATCTTTTATATTAATTGGNCAGGATTGGAAATAATCAAGATCGGCGGAATAATTGCAGAATATTATTTTTTTGAATTTATGGTAAGAAAATAATATGAAAATTAGAACATTTGCTGATAAGTATTGATCTTTGATATAATAGAATACAGCTTGATTAGTATAACATTGTCACTGGTACAGACACGGAAATAACACGTTGCTTTCTTCAGTAGTTAGCTTTCGGAGAGATTAATCAATTTAACTTTGAACTTAAATTAATTTACTAGCATGTTACTTAACGAAAATTACAAAAAAATATTGATTTTCTTAATATCAACATCGACTGAACGTCATTCGTTTTAATTTTCTAAACCGACGATAACACTTGACCATTTATAATCGATGTAAATACATCGTGCCTCCTTGTAAGTCGTTCATGATAAAATAAATATAACAATGTAATTGGCAGTTAAAATGCAAGCTACAAATTTTGAATTTCATAACAAACCGAAGACAAACTTAGTTATTTGATATGAATTTTTCTACGTGAACAGTCTTGTCATCAAGTGTATTTTGTTCCGTAGTTGGAAAGGTGCGACATACGTTTGTACCGTGTTTTGCTATCTGTCTGAAAAGGAAGCGCTAGAGTGATAATGCCACCATTAGATTGCTTCGCAGAACTGTGATTAAGCATGGCCGGCTGAGCACACGTCCTAGACACACGTACTGATTCCGCCGTTTGAGGCCTGGCTCGAATGTTCCTACCAGTCGTCATTGGGCGTTGTCGTCCTCCTGCACTGGATTTAACTCTGGCAGTCTGAGGTCTTTGGTTCACTCTTACATTCAAAGGTTCTCTCGCTGTTTGAGGTCTTTCTCGAAATTTTATATCCGGGTTCTCACGCTCGCCCCAACACTCGGGTATCTCTCGACGTTCTAGTCTGCGCGATATAGAATTAAGCTGCATACTCTTGCCATCATTATATTTATTGTTATACGCCGTCATCACGCGTGCCAAGGGCCAAACGCTCTTGTAACCATGATGTTGAAGCGGTTGATTAGACGCTTCTATCTCTCCAAATTGCGTTTTAAGTCTTTGAGAAAGATCAACTACACTTACACCCTTATCGTCGTCAGTATCCGGGGAGTCTATCCCCGAATCGTACTTAGAATAATCCTCCCGCATAGATTTGTTGATTCCACGCCTCCTCGCTTCTTTAAAAGTCATTGCCGTTCTCGGTCTCCTCATCGGTGAGTACGGCCGGAAATTTTGGCCGACGTCCAGTTCGTCCCCTAAGCCCAAATCCAGATCGATATGGGAACATTTCAAACCATTAGGATTTGATCGCCCAAGGCCGTTCACTCTATCATTCGCTTTCATCATCGAATGCTTGCTGAACTGGGGGTCTGTGTTTTGATGTCGTAATATTCGGTTCTCTAGTTGTTTAATCGTCTTAAAACGATCGGCAGACGTGGTGCGGAGAAGTCGACGGTACGGTTTAGTGATAGGCACATTCGGAGTCTGTCTGGTATACACCCTACTCGAGGGTCGCGGGGAGGACACACTAGAACAGTAGTCTATGATTGATCCAACTTCCATTCTGTCACTGTCGACCTCCTCCACACCCGCCTCACAGTACACGTGATCAACCACTAGATTCTGTACGTGAAGTCGCTTTAATGAATGATCTGGTGCCTTTTGGTCATAGTACTCTTTTGCATTTATTTTGTTTGCACTTACATCAGAATCAATGTCATATGAAGAATCGGATTCTTTTTTCCTGCAAAATGGACCAATGGAGCCATTCTTCTCTGTGCAAAGATGGAGTCTATGGGATTTCGTTTTGAACATGTCTTTTAAATCGGGATCGGAAGCGTTAAAGTTTAACTGTGTGCTAACTGACCTCTGACCTCCACTAGTCACTTCTTCCTCCCAAATTCCATCTCTTGGTGTCTCCTCAATGGATTGACAAGTATGCGAGTTTTGAGAATGATATCCACGGCTTTTTTCAGAAGCAACACGATCTTTTGCGGAACTTTCTCTGGAATAAACTCCTTCATCATCAAAATTATCAAACACTTCCTCATTTTTAAAGTCGTCTCCGTCGATGAAATCTATCCCGGAATCATCCCCAAAAACGTCAATGGACGATTCAGTGAGACCTGACTGGGGCCGTATGCGTAGAGAAGCGGAAGAGCTTTGTCTTATGAGTTGAGACTTTCGTATACTCTGAGGCCTTGAGACGGACACGTGACCTTGTTCGTGATCGTCCTCCCCCTCCTCCATAATAGAGTCAAGATGTTTAACGGTCACCGAGATCACGCTCCGAGCGTCTTCGGTACCGTCAATGTCATCGTCTCCTGGAGGTTTTGAATCAATATTATCAATATTAAGTGAATCAACGTCATCGGAATGCTTGATATTACTTTCGGTTTCATTTTCGCCGTTTATATCAATATGGTCGATGAAAGGTTTTGACTCGTCCTTCCCATTCTCAGGAGGATCTGGAGGTTCGCCATCCTCTGTAACCTTGACTTTTGTCTCCTCTGAATCATTTTCTGCATCATCATTTGTTTCTTTAACCACATCCCCATTTACATTTTTTTCTGTTTCATTGGCTTCTTCTAAAACTGTTTCATTCTTCTTGTCTTTGGCCTCCAGCTGTTTTACATAGTCAGCAATTGCGTTGTTTTGCTCCTCGTCTTCCTTGTTCATATACCCCCAAAATAGACTATTTCTCGGCTTGGGAGGCGGTTTAACCACCTCCACCACATTGCCCTCCTCTTGTATCTCGCCTGTTTCCTTCACTTCGTCATTCCCATCCTGTTTATCCTCCTCATTTCCGTCTTTAGCGACAGGTACAGGAGTACCATCCTCGTTAATAGACTTTCCTCCTTCGACTGCGGTCTGTTTTTCTGACGATTCTTCTTTCTTATCCTCTTCTTCCTCGACGTTATCGGCGCCATTTTCGCGGAGTTCGTCTTCATCTGTCCACTCTCCGACTAAGAATAATTTGAAATCTGTGAAAAAAGAATATGTTGAATATTTCGATAATATAACAAATCATGACTTTTGTTAATATTAGACCCTTCGCAAAATCATATTTAATTGGCTCTATTTTCCCGAATCAAATGCTTCTTTAAACCATAACAGTGATAAATGTTTAATCGAGAAAAACGGATGGTTGTGCCGTTACTGTTAATATCTTTTATCTGTGAATTCTAACCATCGCCTTTACCTTTAATGGGTTTTTGCTTCCCCAGCCCCTATAAATCACGATTTTAACCAATTTTTACTTATCGACATTAGCTTTGTGGCAGACTATGCTGTCCTTTATCGTATCTATCAGCCATACCACATGACCCAATCCACATTCTACCTTTGTTGCTGTTTTCCGTCCCTGATATTAACTGTAGGCCTTACCTAGAACTACCAACAGAGAGCTGTACCAGTAAACGACCTAACGTTGTGGCCCTGTCCATATTTATCGGACTAACCTTTGTAGTTGATTTTGCCATCTCTGTCCTTATCGACATTCTTATATAATGACCCTATCCACACATATAAGTTTTACTTCTGATTTTGCCGTCATTGACCTTAAATATAGGCCTTGTGTCTTTTTCCACATCTACCGGTCTTACCTTTGTAGCTGATTTTTCCGTCCCTGTCCTTATCGGAGGCCTTTAGCAGATCGTCCAGCTCATAGTCCGTTAACATCTCCCCTAGACCCATCATCAGCTGATAGATGTCCGAGGTTGTAATGAATCCGTCCTCGTCATAATCAATCAAGTTGAACGCTGACCTCATGTCATCTTCGAATTCATCCCCCACGGTTCTCTTCCTGAGGTCCACTACAGCGTTGTCAAACTCAACCTCGTCGATATCGCCAAACGCTATAAGCACATAGGGATGTCATAGTATTAGCATTAACGTGTCTGTGTCGATTGCAAGGATGTTTGCGCTTCGCAGCACATCAACACTTACTGATAATGAACCTCAAGGAAAATATTGCACAAAAACGTGTGTGTAGTTAAAACATTGCCATGACAAAGGTATCTACATTGTTCTGACGTTAATTTTATAGTCAATGTTGTAGCGATACAGAAATTTCATTAAAAAAGATTGCGATGTCTCTTGCTTCTAAGAGAAGATACCAAAAACGTACTTGTCGAATGAAAGAGAAACAGAGAAATTGACATTAATTACGTAAAGCGACGAGAAGCATGCTCGATTGATGCTCAAACGGCATCTAAGAAGCCGACGCTTGATTTGAAAAACGTTAGACCAATGGTCTTCCAGTATTTAGCAGGCCGTTTTTGTCTACTTTTCTCAGCAGCCTTATTTCCGAAACGTGTTTCTATTATAAGCGTCTATATAAAGCTTTAGGTGATAGACACTTTTCTTATTTATGTTAAGCATCGATAACAATCATTTTCAAGACATCCGGATCACAGAAAAATCTCGTACAATTTGAAACGAGTAAAACAATGTCGTCTTACGCTTCTTTTACATTGGAAATTTTCGCGGCATGGCTTTAGCTATGATAAAGACAAAGTCTTATCCTATCCATAAAGGTATATATGACTTACTCTCGATACAGGACGTGCGGACCATGTCTAGGATAGCCTCATCCTTGGTATCCAGTTCAAGCGTCTTCATGAGTGGGAACACATTGTCTATGTTTATGTTGATGTTGTCGTTGACCATAATCAGGTCGAAGACGGACTTTAAGGCTGTAACGATAAAAGGTTGTTTCGATTGCAAGGACTCGTAGAACTAAATCAACATATTTGAATTATTTTCATATTTTGTTAGTGTATCTAAAAACACACTGTTTAATACTATGCCACCAAGAAATTGAAATATTGAAATGGTGACAGTTAATTATTGACAGTATATTAAAGTGTGATATATATATGAGCAGATTAAAATGAGTGTAAGGAAGGGGAGTTGCTGTTGGGGGGGGNTGTTGACATATAACCTTTTGAACTTCATACTCACCATCGAACCTATACAATATTTGTAGCCCTTTTTAGATAAACATGGTTATCTATGAATTTAGAATATTGTCAATTATTTTGTATTGTATATATTATTGTCCGCAACTTCTATGCATGGTGGTAGCATATCGGGAGTGATTTAGATAATGATGCCATAAAAAGTATGCAAATGTAACAGAAAGGTAAAGATCTATAGCTAAATCAGGTTCCGAATCAGCCTATCTTACCTTTTTACAACTTAAATATTGATATTCTTTGCCACACCACACATTCTGTTTAAAACAACCAAAACTGGTTTAATTAAACAGTGAAAGTTTATTGTGAAAATATCCTACGCGAACAAATTCTTTAGACGAAAAAGAAGTATAGTATAAATACCAATCCTTCTAAACCACCGGCTCTGTTAAATACGAGCATAGTCGTTAACACTATGCATTACAGTAAGTGCATATAAGTAAATCCAGCTGGATGTCATTAACATATAACCAACATAATATATTATTTTGATGATTATAACGCATCTAAATTTAAAATCTTTATTTTGTTTTGGAATTTGCATATATATATGCAAAGTGTACGCACTTTGTTAAATTAAATTTAGCATTAAATATTAACATTTCGTTTAAATTTTCATTTAAATAACAAATGAACTTTGTATTTGCAAAAACGTAGGCTGTGGACGTTACTTTCATAAAAGAGAATATTAGCGACAGCAAAAACGAAAAAATAATCGGCGTATATTCAGGGTATTTAGATTTTATCTGTTATAATAGGTCAAGTTCACAATTGTACCAATAACACAATGTTCAGGATGATAGTCAAACATATCACCTATAACACAATGCCCAGGGTCATATTTCCTATAATACAGTGTATAAGGTAAGGCATTTACTTGTAATACATTGAACAGAATCACATTAAAGTGTATACGTGTATCTTCAATATTCTTTAATACCATGTTTAGGGGATATTTAATCTATGTATTATAATGTACATGGTAAATTCTTCATGTATTGTATATTTACACTGTACTACAATAAAGAAAATAACATTTTGTATCAATTAAGGTGATGTTTAATTGTGATATCGATAAAACAATATACATTGTCAACATTTTAAAACAGTATGCTTGCTTGCATATTGATATGTTTTTTATCGTATTTTTGATACAAGGTTCAGCAACCAAACTTTTTTACACATGTTAAAATTGACAAGTTTAACGTTTTTTATGTGTGGTACAATGTAAAGGGATTTATTTTTACGTTCTAGAAACATTGAATGATTTTTTTTTCTGTAGTTGATATTAAGACTTTGATTTAAATTTAGACACGTTTTTGCTTTAACGTCTGCTTAGAGAAATATTAACAACTAACTTTGTCTGCATTCGTTGACGACGGTTTGTTTCTATCTTGTGTTGAGAATGATATACGAGATTACTAGTGTGACATCTGGCCACATCGAATACTAGTTATACTACATTTAAACCCCAAACAAATCGACTAGTGTATATATACGGTATCTAATACACGTTACCGGTGACAGGTGAGTAAACATAAACAAATCAATATCTCTGAACACTTTGGAATCCTAGAGACACGCTATAACAACAGGGTCTGGGGCATATACAGTGCGGTTTGTATTAAAAGTGTGTGTGGAAGTTTTAAAGATCTGTTCACAATGGAAAACCGAAGAGAGCGTAATGGCATTTAAACTACACGAGAAGGCTATTCAAAGTAAAATGACGACTGATAATTAATTCTTGGGTGAATTTGACAAATGTGTTATGAAATTAAAATGAAAATCTTTTAATTGAATTTAAGAATATGAGATTAGATCGTTTATAAGTTTGTATAAACATGGCCTTTGGTAAAATTATAATAATCAACTCTCTGTAGCAAAACAGGTTCTGTCAGAACAATCTACAATACTAAGAATTTCAACATGTCAGAAATGTCAAAAACTGGGCCAAGTTCTTGAAACATTACTAACGACATCACATATCTTAAAATTGACAACACACTTGTGACGCTGATACTGAAAGGCTAGTATCTTCTATACGATACTACGTGTTATGGTAGTATTGGTATTGGTTACTACAGGAACTCGATCGAATATGCCAAGTCATAATGGTGTCGTATACAAGTGGGTACTGTATAGTGTCCGTGAGTTTATTAATATTACGGTCTGCCATGTTCAAGATTTCGGATCGGCTTTTAATCAATGCTTTCCAGTTATTAACAAACAAAGGTGTGGTTTCACTTCTTTTGAACGAGGCAGTGGGGTTGTAGTTCTAAAGTGAAGCAATTTCCCGAAAAGGAGGTATAATGACCTTGAATTTCAACCTCGTTTTTATCATTTTGAAATACCAACACTTAAAGATATTCGCTCTACTGCCGAAACAGATCACTGGTCCTTGACTAAAGCTTTGATAAATCACTACTGAAAAAACCCAGCATAACTCATTATGCTGTTAGCACTATCCAACAACGCTACTCGGTCAACGAGAGTAATTCTGGCTCAGTGAACGAAACACTATGGTGGAATTCTGTAATGAATTGTCTGTGGGAGAGGGATCCTTAATCCGCAGATTTGAGATACTGTATGCATGTAATTCGGATATGAAATCAGACATCTTCATAAATATAGTTCACGGATATTAAGACATGCGAATCTCATTTATAACCCAATATAATGCTATAAAATGACGCTTTATTTACAGTTCACTTGTATATCTAAGTCACGTAGAGCTTAATTGCTCTTGTACTATCTAGGGGGAGGGGGAGGGGGGACATACCGGCATCAAAGCAGGATAGTGAAGACAATGTTAATCCTCAAAATATCAGTAAAATATAAAAAAAAAATGAAAAAATATCATTGTGACAACAAGGGCCATTTGTCCTAGAGGACTAATAGAACTTAACTTTACATTGTCATATGTGTTGATATTTAGAGCTACATATATTTTATAAGCAATTTACCACTTTTTTATATACAGAAGTATTTACTTAACATGTCAATCTCATGTTAAACAACAATGACATGACATACTGTATAGTTGCTTATTTTCGCGGGGGACTTAATTTCGCTATATTTGCGGTCACGAAGGACAGCTAAAAATCAAACACCAAGTGAATATGAATTCAATAAATATACACAGATAATGAAAGAAAAAGACCTGTTAACCCTTTTGCTGCCGAATAATGACAAAAGCGGACCGACTTAGTATCGTATTTGACGTTATTTGGATAAAACCCCTGTTAAATAGATCCCATCATCAAAATACAAAAGAACCCTCGTTAATGCAATATTGTTTACCTAACAATGTTAAGGGAAATCTAATTCCAACGAAATAGGGGAAAACCGCGAACTAATAGTCTCGCGAAATTAAACAACTTCACAGTATTTTTCTAAATTCATTTACTAATACTAGATCACACTGTCTAACGTTTTGTATCTGTATGTTTGTGGTGTATATTACTATATTGGTATATACAATATGATACGGCCTTGGCTTTTATTGAAGTCCTTGAGAAGGATAGAAAATTGATTTACTCCTGGAAAATCTGTATATTATTATTATATATTGAAATCTGACGGCTGGCCACTAAAATATACGGAGCTCTCAGTATAAAACACTCGTAATCCAAAATCGATAGTTTGAATAAGGGAGAATGGATATTTTCATTTTTATATTTCTTTAAATCAATAACTCACGTAACTCAAGTGTACATTATTGGAAATTCTTTAGAAGAAGTTATCATTAGGTAAATATGATCAATACACAATCTTATAAAAGTGCTGTATATATTTGTCATATAAAACTTGCAATCGATCTCTACATGCCATAATTTTGAACACACCCACAACGGATCAAGAGTTCAACACCAAGCACCTGTGTGTTTGATTCTAAGTAGAAGTTAAGCGCTTCTGTTTGAGAACAATGTCTGTATACCAACATTTTTCCAAATGGTGTTAATCTCATCAAATCGTTTACCAAACGATCTTTTCATATTTGCCTCTCCTGTTTATCATTATAAAATATCTATTGTACCTGTGAAGCTATTCTTCTCGTGTTTGTACAAAACTGTACTATGTTGCTAAAGGGAAAGGGCATTTTGAAAGCCTACTGTTTAGTTATTTGGCTATAAATAGTAATATAATATGTTTGAAATTTAGAAACGGTGTGAATATATACCTTGTTAATAGCAAATAATCAACAATCGCAAGCGTTTTAAAGGCAAAGTTTTCTTGAATATACAGACTAGTCAAAATCTCCTCTATAAATAGAACACATAAACAAACGTTTTAAATATCCCTCCTGAAAAAATTTATTGTTTTCATTTTTTGGTTTAATGATGTTAGTTTTTTCATTTAATATCTTATTGCATATGAAATCGTACAATGTATTAGGATAAAGATAGTCAGTGTCATCTAATTAGGTTTATGCCTGGAAAAGTAAATAAAGCCCTCCCTCTTGCTTGTCTGTTGAGTTACCGTTTAAATGGGTTCCTGGGGGGAACTGATGACGTCATTGTCATATTGATATGTAATGCTCTATTTCAAATCAATACCATATGAAAGAATCATATAAACATTGTTCCTATTGATGTTTCAATCAATTGAGATATTGACTAACAAAGTTATTGCAATGGAACCACCTCAACTCCGAAGTGGCAAATCGCACCGTGATAATCAAGTATTTCGTAACACATCATCAATATTTCCCAAAGTAGCTATTGATTGTAGCAGGTGAAAATTATACCATGGTTATGAGTAGCAAAAGAAAAATCGAATGTATGACATTGGTAATAATCAAAAATATAAATACTAGGATAACATACATTGTATCAATAAAGTATAGCATTACGTCGTCGTCATACATGTAGCAAAGTGAATATTATATTTTTGATTGATTTTTGTCTAGTGTATTGCTGTAAAGAAATGTTAAATCATTGTATGAATGGATTTCTACGCTAGTTTATGATTAAATAAGCTTGATCAAATGCTTACATAATCTGAACCGTGTTATCATCATAGCCTTTGGTAATTTGAAGTTAAATCATTTAACGAAGCTCAAAGTCTAGGAATATTTCGGTCACTTGAATACTATAAAAAGGATACAATGATGTGTTGAGCTTACTTTTATAGGAAAGCATTCTAAGCAAAACAGCCTGTTAATATTTTGTCTAAATAGTGAATACATACAAGTATAACATAACTATTGAATACATACAAGCATAACATAATTATTGAATTTATTGAATATTTACCATTTCAATAATATCTTAATATTCATTTTAAAATAGAATGACTAAACTAGCGTCATAATGACAGGATGACGTGCGCTTTACATACAAAAGTCTGATATATGGTATTAACATTCTCAGTTCTGATTTGTCCTCCATTGAATCAATTACCATGTGTAAATATTTACAACGTAATGCTATAAAGCTTAAGTGACGATGCATATGTATAGGTGTGGCTTCCATTTCTTCAAACAGTAATTGAAGTGTCTTCTATTTGTACAGACTTGTATAACAGGTTTAAAATCTTCAGCTGCACTTTAAAGAATTGTCACTCGAACAGATGTTGAAAGGATCAAATTAACAAAAAACATAATAATAATTATAAAGAAGACATCTGTAAAATGATCTTTGAATAGTATTATGGAAAAACTCTTTTTAGATTAGAAATCGTTATATTTTAATATCAATGAAATCACTGTTTTTAGAAATGGACATTGGATGCTGGTGGTTGCGTGTAGGCCTTGTATACCATCTACGTTTAATGATCACGTAAGCTTCTTCATCAAGGTTTTCTACGTATCCAATGGTTATTTGATCATAGTACCAACCAAAACTAGCACTTAAAAGTATCTGGAAGAGGAAAGACTGTAAAAACACTTATTTTGAAATATATATAAATGAAAATATGCTAAAGTATTACTTTTGCGAATGTTACAAATCTACACAATTACTTTATTTGGGACGACTAACGCATTGAGATTGTATCATATCCTAATGATCGTAGCTTATTCAGCCATTTATAATTCAATAGGTCATACCGATAAAAGAGCATTATTAAAATGATATGACCATCTAATGAGAGTGACACGGGTATCCGTAAGTTGAAAAACGAAACATTCACTAGTTGGAGATTTGTTTTAAACATGTTTATCCAAAGAAGCAGTCATTATTTTAAAACCGACTGACCCGAATTATATTATTGGTACATTATCAAGATATCTTCAGCAAAGGGGTATCAACAGAAAAGAATCGACCTACACAAGTCAGTGAACGCCAAATACTGTTAGATCGACAGCGCTTTCATAAGCGATCTCGACACATTCATTTCTGTGTAAGAAAATACTCAATTTAAGAAACAAAACGTGCAAAATAAAGTCAGTTGGAAATCAGAAGTGTGAAAAAGAAGAAGAATTGCATAGAAAAATTGATAACGCATTTGAAGTAAAGTCACAATTAAGAGTCGGGTCAATAGATAAGTCATATAGAATTCTAGAAATGTCAAGGAATGAGCAATTCAAGAATTTAACTAAATTCAAATATACTTACTTTCATTGAGGAAACATCGGAAGACCTCTTTCTTTTCTTCGGCAGAAGGTTCAACCACCTTCTCTTTCTCCTCCTGTAGAAAGTACCGAAAAGACATGGTTACACTTTGGTCAAACACTTATAGAACCCTGAAGTCTGATATAATATCCCAGAGGTAAGTCCAAGCAACCATCCTTACAGTTCAACAGTATCACAGTAGCTAGGATATACTAAATTGTAAAAGACAGCTTTACGTCCGTTATTGTGCTGACGTGACTGTATTCAGAACAATGTAGAAGTTAAAATAATGTTACGCCAACATCACTTAGGACCAAATCACAATAGAAACGCTGGCACAATAATTGCGTTGAACTCCTAATGTTTAAAGCAATGACGGTTTCGTACGACTATAATTCCAGTGTACTGCATACAGATGAGGCAATTTCTAAATTTTCTTGATAAACACTTTGAACAAAACAAGGTAATATTAAGTGTAAGTCAACACATTGGCGTCGTTGATGAGTCCCTCGTGATCTTTTTATCACCAATGGGCTGATGATTCCTTGAATATTGCAATCACACTAACACTATGCAGCATTACAATACGGTTCAATCATGACTGCTGGTAGACACTACCTGTATGATTGCCTTCTAGACTCAGGTTTGTGCCCTTTGACGAACGATCGTCCCTTGAATGCGGATTTAGAAGAAAAAATGTCTAGAATCCGATTTGTCATTCATATCACTAAGAAACGGGTTCATTTTTTCTTTTCTTTTTTTCAAACCCACGTCATTGTAAGCAAGATATATCGACAGTAAAATCCCAATCGAATTTCCTACTGCACACTTCAGAAGAAGACTATGTGTAGTCTTTGCCCAATGTCAATCCATATACACCTCTGTGCCCTCGAATTGCGTTCTATACCATAACCAATATCGACCGTCTGACTCACACTTGTCGACTTTTCTCCATATTTCACAGTGTGAATGTTTTCAGTGTGGAAGGCGCTATATAGAAAGACGTGAAAATACTATAACAACAAATGTCAGAAGTGAGAACTTCTATATATGTTTTGTGTATTTTTGCAGTAACTTGGATTACACAACTCCACTTGAAATATTGACAAATGTTCCCTTCGTGTATGTACTGTCCCCTATCCTAAATCCTTAAGGATTTACACGCGTCCCATATCGATTAATTGTTTCGTATCTATTCACCGTAAGATCTAGTAACACACCGGTACTCCACCGCTTGATAAAGGACGAACATTAACGCTCACTACTTACAATAACACTGTTCGAAAGATCGTTTGTCTTGTTTGTCCTCGTCAAAGTTTAAAGCATGATTTTGTTTGTTTTTGTCGTGTTGTTTTCTCAATGAGCGTTGAATATAGAGTCGATTAATTATTTATGCAAATATACGTTAGATAGCCTATTTTCACTATATAAGATAGTCTGTTCCGGAATTCGGTTGTTAAAAATGAAATCATAATAAAATTTATAATAAAATTGTAGAACAACTTTTTCCGAGGAACATCGATGTTATCAAAATTATTGCTTTAAACTACACGTATTTACCAACGGGCTCTGTTTATGAAACGCTATTTGAACTTATTCCCAATCATATATATATATTAATACATTTTAGTGCGTGACCCTTCAATGATTCATAACTACATTACAACTTATTTTACGTTTTTTGTTCGTTTTGATGTAAATCAAGATGTCATAACTTATTCAATGAAGTTAAACCTCATTCCTAAAATGTAGGTTAGAGTATAGAGTTAAGGGCACACTGTAACACAATGATTAAGCAATTTCTCTGATAGACATTTCGTTATTATATTATACTAATATGTTAATTTAAGTTTCACGCGCAATTACACGTTTGTTATATTCAATAGTATAAGCAGTATAAACAACGTTTAAAATCACATTTCCGTATAGGCCGCGGCACGCGAATTTGTATTAAGTATTTGTTATAAAGTTTATTGCTTACTTGTTATCTCTTACTGAATAATAACATATTCTTTATTATTTCTTGTGAAACAGACCGTGGTATGTATCCTACATGTAAGTTTATTTAGATATAATATTGACTACCTTGCATAAACTCAGATTGATATTTAACGAATCGACAAAAAATCTTTATCTAATAAAGACGAAGCGTCTGGACTGGACCAGGTGTACAGGTATATGAACTTTATATAAACAAACAAGCTGAACCTTATGTTGGCATTGAGCAGTGACAGCGGAAATGTTATCTCCTTATGGCGTGTCGGTTCATTAAATATTTATCAAAAAAGTTCAATTAGGTAAAAATATAGGTTAAAAAACAGCGTCAGAGTATATACTTCTGTCGATTAGTTCGAATTGATATTTAATAGCTCCTATGTTCCCATACTTTATTGATTATAGTTTACCATTTGTAGACACCTTACAGTGTCTATAGTGTACAACACGTATATATTGTAATCCTGAATGGAGGGTTATATTACAAGTAAAGTAAACCTATTAATTAAAAACGTACGTGTTAGCAGTAAAAATGACTTCTTATATTAGATTAAACGACTAAAACAAAAAGATTTCATTTGTCATGTACTTACGTTTGTATTTTACTAATTTGGTACTCCATAAAAATACTCGTTGTTTACAGAGACTTAAGACATCATTGTTTCCGTTAAATATGTATCGTAAGGACGCCGCATATGACTTTGCTATTAATTGATTCGCGTTAATTTACTCCGCGAGGAGAATCTTTTGAAATTTTAACTTCCAGTTGTATATAAAACCATTACTATATACTATGTGATTAGGCCACAGTTAAGATCGTGTTCCAACGGCACATCAGCAGACTACCCTGCATCCAACACTACACACCAATTTCCGTCGTCAACCTCATGTCACACAATTCGCTATAACCATGTAATCGTATTGTTGGCACCAGATGAAGTCTTTGCTATAGCTCCAAATGAAACACCATATTTCAATTGATTTCCGGATGGACCACAGTATTACCATTAAAACCTAGAGACACAGTTTGAAATCTCTTCTCTTACGTAGAATGGATAGTACCTTTATCACCATGAAATACACATTAGCAGAAACACTGTCCTCTTTGTCTCCGCAAAACAGGAACGTAAAACTAAACAAACATGGCAAACAAAATGTGCTGCAAAGTCAGTCATCAGGCCTTGCATACTAACACACTGGGGGTTATTTCTGTATCGAAGCGTATGTCTGAAGAATTATCGCCATCCTGTTCAGATCATTATAGAAGACAATACACCTTTCCACATTGATCCCAGTTCAACTTCAACTGTCAACCGGTTACTTCTGCCAAATATATCCCAGTTCAAGTTGTTCAACTGTCAAGCGGTTACTTCTGCCAAATATATCCTAGTTCAAGTTCACAACCGGTCACATATATCCAAGGTGTTGTTGTTCAACAAGTAATGTTCAATCAGTTCATTCAGTCACACATTACAGTTCATATTCAACAAAAATGGCAAACGGTTCATCTTGCCACATATCCAAGTTTAGGTTATATATGTATCCCCGAAGCCACCTTCCGCTACAACATTTACGAACACATTAGCTGGGACTACCTAGAGCTGGTGGCCTGTCCCAGATACTAAACCTGTTCACCTGACAGATCCCAGGTCTGGCCCCCCTCTACGTTTATCAAATATCTATCTTCTATATAACATTTCTCACACGTGTGGTTTAGCATTAAATACCAATAGGATGAGCTTTTAAGGTAAATGACACTTGTCTGTGGTAATTTAAAGTCCGATTTCAACAGGTTAAGTATAATACACTAAACTCTATCTGTTGATCTCAATCCTGTATGATTTCATTGTTCACATGATAGGTTTTTTCACACATCGCTTCAATTTTAAAGATCCTTTTAAGTTCTATCGTCTTAATAAGCGTAATATATTATCGCGAATTGTCGGTGATGCATGATGGATAGATATTAATATAATCTTCATTTACGCCATGAAATCTCCGAAAATCGCTCAGGTCACTTTTATTATATCTGTACCATTTGCCATAACCAATGGACATGTTTGTGATAGATTAATATATAGGCACACACGGTCTGTCAAGAAAAATCAGGCGCCGATTACAACATAATTAATTGATCAACTCCTCAACGCCATTGTCAAACACTTTTGATTAACGTAAAACTTCACAGCTACGATTTTGACAACATCCATGTTGTTTTCAGACCATCATCTCACACATTTTAAATGAACGGACACGATTCCATAATAATACTGATGCCAGTATACACAATATTTCTACTCAAGAGACCTTGAAATCCGAAGTTAAACGTTGAAAAAACAGAAATGCAGAACAGGCGTTTTCCTGGAGATCCGCCTGGCCACACTTTAGTGCATAGGTTGCACTAGTGGTACGGTTTAGATATGGCTTTGTCGTAAACTATATGACTTGTAGTAAAGACGAGGGTTTACTTATCGATATAGCCCCATTGTTATATATAGTATACACTCTAACGCTAGAATGTCTGCCCGGGGTCTCCAGGGGTAGTCTGGCATCGTAACGGTACAAATACCTTGGCTAGATTCATTGAATTATAACGGTATTCATGTTGACCCGATAACCGGCAGATATTTAATATTTTCCTATGTATATCTAAGTAAAGATTTCAATTATCTTTATGGTAAACCTAGTCCCGAGGAGAATATGTAAGCAATATCCTAAAGTCATCAGTTGTCACAGATTTCATGAAATTATTGAGCTGTGAACTGCTAATCCATGTGTTCATACGCCAATGAACAAACGCTGTCGTAAAGAAAAGTTTGTTTCTGTTCTATGTTCGGGGTTAAAAGTCCACGCAATAGATAAAATCACATTTATAGGATCTTAAATGAGTTTCCATTTCATATCAGATTTATGAAATAAGTCTAAGAATTTTTCAATTTAGCGAGCCTCTGACGAGCTAAAATGAAAATAATCGTGACGAGTTTCATAATTTTCATATGAAATGAAAACAAGCTCAAGATTTGTGGCATTTATTCGTGTAAAACGACAATTATCATGCAACCTTGAAATGTAAAATACCGC